ATGAAGTTAAATTATGAAAATATTAATTGAGCCAAAAACTTGTTAGCAACTTGTTTTTGAGCATTATTCCCACCTAACAAGTTTTCTAAACGTAGTTCCGATGCAACCATAAGCTATTTTATACAGATGGAAGAAGACTGAGAAAAGAGGATTATGTAGCTGTAGGTATGATAAAGATATTGAAGGCACCTTCAGCCTCTGTTTGCTATCCTTGTCCCAGAAATTAAAGGCACCATCTGAACCTGCAGTTGCAAAAGTGTGATGCACCTGAAAGAAAGTTCCGGTCAATAAATAGCAAGATTTAAAGAACCATTAATCAAGATGCTGCAAATTATGGCGAATTGGTAGCAGATAATCACTTATGAGCGCACCAATCAGGAAAAATCCTTGTCATCTTAAAAAATAGCCAACAACAGTACACTATCCTTGGTGAGAATGCCTTTCTTTTTCTTATGTCTTTGGGGGTAAATTAAATAAAAACGGATGTCCAACTTCCTACTACAGAAAAACCACAAGGAATAGTTGACAGATCAAAAAAAAAAATTTGCTCGTCTAGGGTGGAAGGATATTATTACGTAATGCAGTACCTTCTAACCTCCCTGAGTACTACAATTCGATTTTCCAAATGCCAAAATGGATTGGGTGTATTTCTTTGGAGTGGAAATGAAGAGAAGAGGTCAATTAATTAGTTGGTTGGAACATGATTGCTAAGCTTGTGTGTAGTGACAGTTAAGGAGTCAGGAGCTTAAAAAATAAGAATCCAAACGGTGTAGAGATTTCCAGAGAGCCAAATAAGCAAGGGCACAAAGTGATGGTTAGAATTAATGGAAAAGAAGATTTTGGGAAGTATACTAGAACTAAAAGATCAGGAGGTGCCAGCTATCCATGGTGGATGATCATCACTGGAGTACAAGTTTGAGATGAGGAAGGGAAGGAAGCTTGAAATCTTTTGCAGCTAATTGATGGAACTCGACTTGATTGGAGGAGGTAGAAAATTCCAGAGTTTGATCTTGAAGGAGGTAGTAAATGTATTGTGTAAAATGAAAAGCCTCAATTTGAGTTTCTGAAGGGCGAAGACATATACAATAGGCTTCAATACATGTGCCTTCATTTAACGAATTTTAAATTCAAATGAGTGCAGTGCTCAAAAGCTGGAGAAGACTTCTCCCCTCTGATTTTCCATAGTTCTTCTAGAAAGAAAAAAATTGGGAATTTGTGTAGTTTTGAAGTTTCTTGCATTTATTTATGCTTCAAAAAATAAATAATTTAATACAAACTTACGGGATGAAAGTTCAAGGAGTTGACAGAATATATCTCAGATCCATCCCTGTGGCACTTAAAAGTGAAGTTCTTATTCGCCAAAGACTCATCAAGGTGGTGAACACCAACCCTTCCCTCAATTGAACCAACCTGGAATTGTTAATGAACTCAAATTAAGCAATTTCACATTAAGATCAACCTGTAAAGAAATAAGAATCTGGAAGTAGATTCTTATTCTGGAAGTAGTAGTAACTAAAATATCATCAAGACAGTCTCTTATCAAAATATATATATATATATATATTTATATATATCATCAAGACATAATATAAGAATTATACTTGAAAGCAAGCAACATCTAAACAAAGGAATATAAGGGATGGAAATATTACCAAAAAACCTTGCTGATCAGGAAAGGCAGCTACACATCTTGTTTGATACTTCAAGGGTGAAACAATTCTCTTAAATTCATTCTGTCACAGAAAGACCCCACACGCAGATGTCAAAAACTGAAATTTAAAGAATATTATACACAACTTCATATATTACATTGTAGAAGAAATGATAGGAAAAAAGAAAAAACAATACCTGAGGATTTTGCAAGTTAAACACTATCAGATTTCTGTCTGCAGTACCAACTACCATAAGTGGATATCTCACTGTCATTGAATAACAGCGATCAGGAAGTTGTTGAGTATGCACTGGGTTTGGCTGCCTTGTATCCCAATACCTGAGAATTTATAGAACCCCATCAAATCTTTTCATCATAACTAGAAAACATAGGTAATCTACCACAATCTACAATTACACTTCCACATGGTAGAAAAACAAAAGGCAAAGGGTGAACATGTAGACCAGAAAAGGGCAAATTGTCTACCTTTGCAGAGCGCATTTGCTATTTTTCATCATATTAACTAAGGACTGCAGTGATGCAAGTTCTAGAATATCAAAACAAGAGAAAATGCTAAGAGAGAGAGAGAGACGGAGAGTCAGGTGCTTAGTGGATATGAACCCACTTATTTTCAGCAACATCTTTCATTTCAACCTGACTAAATGAAATGGTTCAACATGTAATTTTATGTTAAAACAAAATACACACTCATATTCATAATTAATCTTAGGAAGAAACATAAAACAGTGAAACCATTTGAGGAAAAAATTAAGGAGCAATACTACATCAACTCATGCCATAGAAAGGCAGAGGCCAGAGCCACATATCTTGCTTACACGTGCCTTAATTTGAACAAACACGATGCCCACATCATAGATGAATGAGACGACATCAAAACAGGCTAGTGAGACAAATTGTTTGAAACTGACTCCTAGAATGTTTTTCATGTTCCACAATAATGAACTGAGCTCTAATAGTGAAACTGTGCTACTCATATTAAAAAGAATCTATGGATGTCACGGAACGCATGTTTTAATTACTTAAAGATAATTAAGAATCAACAGATTGGTGCTTACTTCAATGTCTTGTCCCAGCTTCCAGAGACTAATAGGCTCATCTCAGGGATCCACGCAACTTCTTTGACAGGTGCTTCATGCATGGCTACAGTCATGGCTTGGCCACCGGACAACAAGGGCCACATTTTAACTTGTTTGTCGCAGCCTCCAGAAAACACAGTTGTTCCATCGTCCTTCCACGCTGAGCATAAAACCTAATGTGCACGATAACTTAGCAACGTTTTGGATCTTACAGCAACAAAATTCTAATCAAACCACAAAATCAAAACTAAATTGTTATATACCGGTTGATCGTGAGATATAGAAGCCTTAGGCGTACTGGCAACATTACCCGCATTTTGCATTATTTCCCAACAACGAACCTGCAGAGCCATTACTATGAAATTATAGAATAAACTCGCAAACCTCGAAGACTATACATCAATTTGACATTCTCATAGCTAATTTGGATAGAAAACCTCGAAGAAAAGTAAAAATAGCAAGAAAAACTTTCTTATTCGCATAAAAGTAAACCCTAATCTGGATAGAAAATAAACAAAACGGTTAAATAAGCAAGTAAAAGCACAAAAAGAGTTGAAAAGAAGAGGAAAAAGAAAAGGACCTGATTATCCCATGAAGTGGCAACCAAGTGATTGGCCTTTGGACTAAAACTAAGGCTCGACACAGAATCACTCGGAGGCTGAGCAACCTAAAAACAGGCATTCAAAAAGAAACACAACAATTAAGTTTAAACCAGACCAAACTAGGCATCGAACTGATTTACAAATGAAGTCGAGTTCCAAAATCTAAAACGCACGTTTCACACATCGATAATTGCTTACCTCGAGGGATTTATTAGGGTTTGGATTCGCAAATGCAGACATTAGGAGCTACCTGCAAGTATCACAACGCGAAACATCAAGAGATTTGAAGAAGTATACTGACATCATTCTACGTTAACAGAATCAAACAAAAGAGAGAGATTTCGAGAGCGAATTACCTTCACCGTGTTTCCAAGGAGAAAAAAAACAGAGATAAGCAACTCTGATTGCTCGGAGAGACAGCGATTTCGTCGGAAAGCTGAGACTGCGGCAGCCGAGAGTGCAGCGTGCGCGGGTGAAGTGGCTAGCAACGAGAGAGAGGAATGGCTGAACGTCAAAATAGGGCTTAGAAAAAACGATAGCTATGGACACAAAATTTTAAAGGGATGGAAAATTAATCTTATAAATATTTTGGGAAATTTTTTTTATTTATATATAAACACATCTGAAAAAATTAATAATTTATAGTATATTTGTAGAGTTTATTTAGTAATTTTAGATGGTGAATTTTATTTAATGAAAATCATAATAATTAGTTTCGGTCTTAAAGTGAACCAAACCTAAACCAAACGAAGCTAGAATTTAGACGACATTTGAAGCACACAACGTATCAAGAGGATCAATGAATCAAAAGCTAATCCAAACTAATTAACCAGCTAATGATTAATACAAATAGATCTACAAGTCAGTCAATGGACAGTCCAAAGGTCAATCCAAGACGATCAACAAACTTGGTTGATTACAGATCAACAAGTTAGGGGTTTATTCTAACCGGTCAACAAGCTAAAAAAATTATTCAAGTCGATCAACAAGCTAGGAGCTAATACAAACAAATCAACAAGTCGATATCCATTCAAAATGATGAACTAGCCTACGACACATCAAAGGCAATCAACAAGCCAAATGATATGAAAACCATAATTTATTGAAATTAAGAACTCGGTAGGTGAACCTTAAATTCACAAATACTAAAGTTTTTTCGAATCGAGTCGATTTCAACTTTAAATATTATATGTAAATGGCTCCAAGATCAAATTCTTGATACAAAGAACAATGGGCCCAAAATTCAATTTTATCATACCGTCTAACTAAAAAAAATTAAAAAATACCAATTAAATCTTAAAAATCATTAACATCTTTAATTTTTGTTTAAAAAAAGTTTATTTATTTTTACCATGAAAAAAAAAATCTAAAGATGTTATTAAAGTTCTAATTTTTTTTAAATACTTTTAAAAGTTAAAAATATATTTTTAAAATTCTTTTTTTAAGCAAAAATATTAACGATTTTAAAAAAATAATGGTAAATATATTTATTATTATTTAAAAATTTAATGATATATATATGTGTGTATTTGAAAATTTAATGATATTATTAATTTTTTTAATTACTTAAAAGTATTTTTTTTATATTAATTTAGTGAATTAAATTAAACGTATATTTATTTAATTCCACAAAAATGAAAGAAAGGGAAATTAGAGAGACGAAAGGCGAAGTTTTGTTCTTAGTCCTTGTTTCTGTGTTCTCCAATTTGGTGCGACAAAAATAAATCTTCGTCTTTGCTTTCTCTTCTTATCTTCTCCTTCCCAATCCAATTGCACTCAAACAAGAAGAAGAAGATGCGGCGCTCTGCTACAAGGAAAACCGGTCAACCCAATTCAGCTTCCGTTAATTCTTCCGCCGTCGATCTCTTTCGTTACGGTATTTGATCCTTTGTTTTTCCACAATTCTAATTCTTCTACTTGTAATTCTCGCCATGGAAATAGATCATCGTGTTGTTATATACTCTGGTTAATTTTGTGTTCTGGTCATGGACATGGTTTTGTCTTTGATTGATTATACTCCTACGATGCCTTTGTCTCAGGAGATTTTTACGTTCTCGATGTTGTGTGTGCATCTTGCTATGTTGATGATTTAGTTTGTCTTTAAATAGAGTGAGGTTTCAGTGGGATGAATAGCTCTAGTAGTTTGCTAATTGTGTTACGGCTATCAAATTTGGGAATTTCAAGCTTATATTACAGATTGTTTTGTGCATGTACCTGAGCACCTGTAAGAGCTAATCTGAGATGACATGGAGTGAGTTGGTTCCATTAGAAAGTGAGAGTTGTATACTTGGGAATCGAAAGAAAAAGAATCTGAACATGCAAACTACTTTTATTCATTGGCTTGAGATTTTTTTTTCCAAATTTAATTGAGTAATGAACTCTGTATGGTGGTCTGCTGGCTGTTCTTAAGCGAAACTATGTGGTAGGTGGCTTTCTCAGTTATATCGTAATAATTATCATGCCCATGATGTATACTCTTTTGTTCTTATGAGGTGATTTATGTGTGAGTAGTATTTTTTGGATTTCTTCCACCATGCTAATAGGGGGTTCTTCTTGGCCGGATTTTAGATTCCTATCTTTGCTTTTCTGATCTAATCAAATAAAACATTTCATAATAAAATTCATTGACCATGGTCAAGGATTATGTTGTTGTTGACTTCCAACTTATGTACTTTAAATTTTCCTGAATAATCAATCAGTGATCTACAATATCTGAAAAGTATCTTGACAAATAGAATAAGTAGGAACTTGGCTGTAGAAATTCGTTGAAATTGTCCAAGTAGAAATTTGAAGGCGTACTTTTATTGACAAAAAAAGATAATTTCTCAATTCTTATGAACTTAAGATTGTCAATGTATTCAGCTTCAAGTCGAGCAAGCTCAAAAGAGTTGGAACGGATCGATAGCCTATTTTACTCATATGCCAATGGCTCTTCTGGTTTGATCGAGTAAGTCAACTTTGGTCCATTGAAATATCTCGTTTTCAGCATTGCTAGTTAGCTTTGCCTTGTACCTATCTTTTTGTTTTATTTTTTGTTTATTCAGCATTATACAGTTTAAATGCATAGCAATATTCCAATCATAAACTCTTTTTTTGTGGTTGATTTCTTATGCTTGAACAATATTATCTTTCTTCATTAAAACTTCCCATCCATGTTATTTTAATAATCAAGGATGTTCTTCTCCTTATCTTTAAGGAGACTTCTGAGTACTTGTATAAGATCCGTATGATATGCAGTACTGACTATTGTTTTAACAGTCCAGAAGGAATTGAAAGTCTTTGTTCAGACATGGAAGTGAATCCCACTGATGTAAGAATCTTGATGCTTGCGTGGTAAGTTGTACCTCGACTGATATGATAGTTGAACTTTTTTTTGTTTGTGTGACCTCATTGCCTAGAAACTAATGGATTACACATACCAGGAAAATGAAATCTGAAAAACAAGGATACTTTACCCTGGTAAGAATATTTACTCTTCTGTTGGCCTTCAAAATTAGAAATTATACGGCAGATCTTCTTTATAGTATTGTTGTTCTTTTATTTACTGCAATATGCTTCCACATCATTTAATCCTTTCTCATTCATTTTCTAATCAGTATAGTGATCTATGAAGGGTATATTTTATTTTATTCAAGTGGAGAGTTTTTATTAACTGCTTTGGAGCGGGGTTCTTCCCCTTTCTTTTGTAATTTCATACCCTCAATGAATTTGATATTATTTTTTAAAAAAGAAACATCGATTTTATCTGTGTTCAGCACCGGCTTATAAGGAAAACCCTGTCATTTATATTCTCAGCTTCAACTTAAAATTTTTTTCTGTCAAGATCTATAAATTCATTTGATGGAACCTTAACCTATTGCATATCTGTTAGGAAGAATGGCGCACAGGCCTCAAGTCCCTGAGGGCAGACACTGTTAGTAAATTAAAGAAGGCACTACCAGATCTTGAGAAAGAGGTTCAATACTTGTCTTGTTAAAAGTTTCAAAATAAATTAGTACATATAGTTAGCGCATTGCTTAATTATTGCGCATAAAGTTTTTAATTATCGATTCCTCACATTTTGAAAAGGTAAGGAGGCTGTCAAACTTTGTGGACTTCTATTCTTATGCATTTCGGTATTGTTTAACAGGTTTGTTTTGTATTTTTAATCTTCAAGTTCGATTCATTTTCTTCTACTCTATATTGTAATTTGATCTTTATGTTATCTTTATTCCATGGATATTTTCTTAGAGGATAAGCAAAAGAGTATTGACATAGAGAGTATATGCGAGTTGTTGGATCTTGTTTTAGGGTCCGAGTTTCATGCCCAAGTCTATGCGTTTATCGAATACTTGAAGGTGAGTGCCACATCATGTTTTTTTTTTGCTTTTAATTTGCCACATTTATACACAGGCATGGTTTATTTGGCACTGCAGTTAACTCCAGCACTGCCTTAGAGGACTTCTAGATATTTAATATAATGCACTTAGTCTAAGAGAGGTATATTCTTGAGTTATAGTCTCGTTCTAGCTTACCTAGTGGATGATAAAATGGACTTTACCATATTACTACTGATAGTCAGCTCTAGCCACCTAGTTAATCTGCGTGAGGAGAACCTTCAGAAATGGTTGATGATTCAAGAATGGTGGTTCTGTGAAAGACATGTTGTAGAGTAACAAATTTTCTTTCATAGGGGTTTCAACATTTTGGGTTATTGACCGATCAATCACATTTTTACTGTCTTCCCCCTCATCAAGAAGGCAGAATAAAAAATTCTTATTTGCTCGTATTATGTATGCAGATACAAAGTGACTATAAGGTTATTAACATGGATCAATGGATGGGCTTCTTTCGATTCTGCAATGAGGTACTTTCATTCTCTCCCAAAGCACATGAACATGACACATTTCATTATATTTGCTTGCATCTATCGCACTACTGGTGGAATACAGTAAGAAAAATTGGGAGGCAGATAGTTTCTGGAATCTACTATAAATTTGCCCTGAATTTTACTAGAGTCACTGCCAATTCAATGATCTTCTCATCCCTTGAATTCATCAAAACAATGTAGGTATTTAAGTTTGTGACTTAACTGAATTCTTTTCTTTTCCAATTGGGTTAACTAATTTCAAGAATTTTTCTTGCTACTTTAACTCATACAATAATTCCCATTTGTATTGAAAATCAGTCTGAAGAAGAAGTGTAATATTTATGCAAGAGTGACTTCTCTATCCACCTCCAATTGATTTGTTTGTATCATCACCATTTGGTATTGATGTCCTCAATTCAAGCTGTGACACATATTGATCATTATGCAGATAAGTTTTCCCGACCTGAGCAATTACGACTCAGAACTCGCTTGGCCATTGATCCTCGACAATTTCGTTGAATGGTTACAAGCAAAACAGAGCTAAAAACCTGATGTCTTCATCATACAATGTATTTGATGTATACGCCATAGTTATTGAAGCAAGTATCCAATTTCTCTTACCGCTTCAGATTCAATATATTTCATCCTTTCAAAGGGGCTTCGCTTCTAACCATAGCTACCAACATCTCTCTTTCTGCAGGCTCACCTTCGATTACACATTCGCATAGTAGCAGGATTTTCACTCATTATTCCTTTACTCTCTCAACTTCTTTGAAATCAATGGTAATCCCCATTATGTTAAAATTATCATTTCAAACATTCATGGATTATTCTTCTGCTAATTTACTACAGTTTCTTCCCACTCTTCATCATTACGTTAGCCATTCAATTGACTGACTACTTTGCAGACTTTTTGTGTATCCTTTAAAACAATTTAAACCAAACCCTTTTGAATGAACGAAAGCAAAAGGCTTTATCACATGGATTATATTTGTATAGCTTGAAAGTGAATGAATGGTATGATAGGCTTCATGAATGTCTAAAAAAATGGTTAATTTTTAAAACTTTTTTACCATTATCTTATGGCCTAAAGCATTCAAAAAAGAGACAAAGTAGGAAACACCATTGTCACAAAAGTATGGGCACAACACAACTTTCCACCTTTTTTTAGGCCATTTTGCCCTTTCCTTTCAAAATACTCTTAGCCAAATCCCAAGGCTAATACTGAGCCCTATTTTACTTGATTCAAGGCACTTTTCCAAAAGGGTTTATATATAATATAATTAATTATTATATTATAGTAGTAAATTTGATATTTAATAAAATTTTCGGCTTGTTTGTAATGATTTTCTAAGTATTTAAGAATAATTTTTAAGTTTTAAGCCGACTTGAATTCATAAACATATTAGACTGAAACTATTGATACAAATTTAAAAATTCATATACTAAATTTGTATTTTAATCTCTGTAAAATTATAAGATGATCGATATAGAACAAATATCAATATCAAAAATATCAAAGTATCCATCAAAATGGAAAAAAAATGTCGAACTCTATAGAGCATTCCAGAGGTCATATTTGCTACTAAGAAAATGAATATGCCCCATTAAGCAATTTCATCAAAATTTGAATTCCAATCCACATCTCACCTGGAAATTAAACCCAGCCTGTAAGAACTTCAATGGGAGCTCAAGAAAATCCAAGAAAATGGGAATCATTAATGGTGGGGGGAAAAACATTGCAGAGAGAGAACAAACAGCCCACTTTGCCTAATAATACACAATTTACATAATCACTGATATACCCCCCAAGAATGCCTTTTTTTTAGAGAGAGAAATATAATTTAGAGGGGGAATTAGTAAAATAACAATCTTCAAGAACTTGAAGTGGGTATCAATGGTGAAGCTGGAAGACGAGGACGTCTGGTTCTGCTTCTTCCTCTGCGGAGAGTAGTAGTTGAAGAAGATGAAGAAGAAGATGAAGAATTAGAAGCTGAAATTTCAGCTGTTTGGATTCTTCTTGCCAATTCCTTCTTCTTCTCTTCTTCTTCTTCTTCTTGTTTTTCTTCACCTCTCTTCTTTTGCGCTCTGTTTTGTCCAAATTTCGTGGAGTTTAAGGTTGCTGGTAAAACACAGTTGCATATCCACCCTGCATTCCAAAATCCCTCATCTCAGAAGTTCTTCACAAACACAAACATTCAACACAATCCATGACACACATACTTATTATTAGAAGATTCAAATTTGCAATAGCCCAACCTACTAGTGTTGTTTTCGCTGGGCTTTCACTCAAAGTTTTAAAACGCGTCAATTAAGGAGAGGTTTTCACACCATTATAAGAAATGTTTCATTCCCCTCTCCAACCTATATGGGTTGACACACAATCCAGTGTCTAGTTTTGATATCATTTGTAATGGTCCAAGCTCATTTTTTGAGCTTTTACTTCTAGACTTCCTCTCAAGGTTTTAAAATGCATATGGGAGAGGTTCTGCACCTTTATAAGAAATGCGTTCCCTTCTTCAACTGACGTGAGTTCTCACATAATCTATATATAGATCATTTTCGTTTATTTTTCATTAATCATTTTATTTTCTTGATAGTTGTTTGATTTTTTTATGTTTTATCATCAATATTTTAAAAAATTCATACCAAAAAACGTAAACTTGTTTTTGAAATTTGGTCGCAGAAAACCATTGAGCAAACCAACAAAATTTTCAAAAAGAAAGAATGAAAAAACAAAGGAAAAAAGAAAAAAACTAAATGATATCAAGCCACCTACCACTTGAATTTGTTTTGAAACCCTATACCTTTCCAGCACAAATTCAGTCACTTAAATGAGTAAAAGAATATTTCAAGCAACTTTTTGTAAACTAGTTTAAGAAAAAAAGGATCAAAATAATTTTCTTTTTACAAAAGTAGTCAAGTTCATCATCAGCATTCAAAGAGAAACATTAACAGCAAGAACTAGAAAAGGAGAAGTAAATTTAGATCAAAATTTACCAATTCTAGCAAGGCGATTGACCCAACTTGGGATGGGATTTCCAGTGAGTTTGATGCAAAAATGGTTGCAAAAATGGTTGCAATTTTTGGTGATGAGATTATAAGCATTTCCTCTGTAATCTTTACCAAGTTCCTCCATTAATGACCTCACTTCTGCTTCACTCATATCTGTTTTCCCAATCAAAATTGATTCTCTGAACTTGAATCCATCACATTGCTTTGGTTCCCCTTCAAATATCCCTGTACTTGGACATTCATGAGCCCCAAATGCAAATTCAATTCCATGAACTGCATCAGAATCCCATAGTTTTCTCAGTTTCAGATCAAAAATGGCAGAATAGATTTTCCTAGACCGAATTTCATTCAATTTTCCTTCATTTTCTCAGCAGCCAAACACAACAATGAAGGTCCAGAAAACACCACGAAAGATTGTCCAAAAGTAAATTATAGTTCAAGAACAATAAACAAGTATACTAAAAGTAAAATCCTCCATGTTCGTCCAATTTTCCTCCATTTTCTCACCATCCAAACAGAATCCGTCAAAATGGAGGTCACAAACAGATCAAATTATACTTCAAGACAACAAACAAGAGTACTAAATGTAAGAACCTAGGAGTTCGTCTAATTTTTCATCATTTTCTCACCATCCAAACAGAATCCGGCAAAATGGAGGTCACCAACAGAGCAAATTATACTTGAAGACAACAAACAAGAGTACTAAATGTAAAAACCAAGAAGTTCGTCTAATTTTCCATCATTTTCCCACCATCCAAACAGAATCCATCAAAATGCGAGGTCCAGAAAACATCGGGAAAATTTTCACAGGAGTAAAATCCGACTTACAAAAACAATAAACAAGTATACAGAAAGCAAAAACCTAGAAGTTCAATCAATTTCCCCCCATTTTCACTCACTAACCAAACAGAAACAGAACTCATCAAAAGTGGATTCCAGCAGATTAAGCATCAGAAATGCAGATCTAACAGCAGATTCCAGCAGATAAACCGATGAACTAATATGAAGAAGAATTGAAAAGCTCGAATTAGAACGAACCTTGTACACCAGAATGATAAACTCCGAGGCCGAGCCAATATGCGTAGCCATTAATGTGCGTCAGGTCGTACACATTGAGGTACACTGGCACCGATCCAGAGTCGCCATTGCAGGAGATTCTTCTGCACCACATTTCGATCTCACTCCCACTCGCTTACTGCGATTAATAACAACTCCATTGCTAAATATCTTCGAACCAAATAGAAAATTAACATCGGAAACATAAACAAAAAAGGGGCGGAAAAAAGTGTTGAGAGTGAAAAAAGAATTAACGGGTAATCATAACTTTCTTGATTATTAACAAAGTTCATAGTTTTTTAAAGCGGGATTGGGAAACGGGAATCTTTTAAAGCGGGCTTGGGAATCGAGAAATTTATCCCTTTTAAAAAAAAAATAATTAAATTATCCAAAATATCCAAATTCTATGGGTAGATTTAGTCGCTTAACCTAAGAATTCTAAATTAGCCTAAATTAGGAGACGTGTAATTTCCATCTTCAAACACCTCCCTTCAATCTAATATCATGTTAGACGAACATGACTCTTGGTATGATATTGTTCACTTTGAGTATAAACTCTCATGACTTTGTTTTAAGCTTCCCCAAAAGGCCTCGTATCAATATCCACGATCATTCCATAAATTAGTCGATGTGAGATTTTTATCATCTAACAGGAACAATCTACTTGCGGTGATCTTCTCAAGTTTCCTAGAAAGTATGTTACGGGGGACAAAACATCATAAAATAATTCGTGTTTGTAACGTGGGGATACTCTTCTCTTTTAGAACATCATAAGATAAGTAAGTAACGTGGTCATGTTGCAAAGGAATGTCAGAGACCATTAGATATCGAATTTAGATTTTAAATCCTCTTTTGAATTATCGACACGCAGTATTACATCAAATTCTTGTGTTTAACACGCTATTTAAATAAAAATGAGTCAATTACCAAAATAATAACAATGAGAAAAATAAATGGTTTGTTCTTTATTGTTTTTTTTAAGAATTAAATATATTTTGACCTTTTTCTTTCTCAACCTTTTATCATATATTAATTTTTTAAAAAAATGAATTTAAATTTATTAATCAACATGTTTTTTAAAATTAAAAGTAAATATAATTTGTAATTGTAAATATATAAATATAAATACGTGAAAAGTTATAAAAAAAAGTGGAACATGGATTGTAATTAGAATTGGTGATTGAAATTAGGTATTTAATTAATGGAAAATAAAAAGTGAGGGAATATAATGATTAGCCTTCTAGGTTGGCCTTTAACGTTTTTTCTTTTTTCAATTTGAAAAAAAATAAATTAATATTTTTAGTTCATAAAATTTACATTAATTCACATACCAGTCACTAGAAACATTTTTAGCTTTTAAATTTAGAATAATTTTGTGTTTAAATTTGTAAATAATAGTAAATATTTATTATTATTATTATTATTATTTTTGTGGTTAAAAACTTAAAAAATACAAAATTAATATATTTAAGTCATGTCTAACTTAATTCTTTTTAAATATATATATATATATCTAAATAATCCATGAAATAAAGTTAATAGGAACAAAATTGTTAATGGTATTAGATAAAAATAAAATAATAATAAATAAATAAATAAATAAGATTAACCAAATTTTTAGAATTAAAATATCAAAATTTGAAAAGTCGAGGACACAAATGCAATTTAAGTCATACTTTATAGACCAAAAATAAATTTTTGTTTTGATGAAGTGTCGTTCAACCACGAGCTTAATTTTGTTGAAAAAAATCTTCGAGCACTTGGTGGTGACAGTGATGTTGACAGCAATAAGGGCCGATAAAAGATTGTTTTTCCTCACAAAATACTTATTTCTCGACCTATAATTCTTACCGAACGAAAAAGCGAGGCTGAAGATTTTGAATTATTATTATTATATATATATATTTTTTGTGTAGATACATATATTGATAAATCATAAATTTATATTTAAAAAAGAAATTATATAATCTAAGAATTTTGAATTGAATTGGAGGAAAAATAGTGAATTAGGGTTAAATGTAGAAATCCATTTCAATTTCTCAACGGGAAAAAAACGATGGGCTGGAGGCCCAACATTGACACATTAATGGGCCTGGCAAATGAAGACTCGTCGGCCCATCAGAATTAGTTACCTGGATATTCGTTGTTCTTTCCCTCACAGCCATCTTGATCGAGGGCAATGTTTCGCGCCAGAGCCAGTTTGAGCCGATTTTCAAAGCGATTGAAGCCATTCCAGACCAGTCCATTTTGCTCCAAATCCCCCATTGGGACCAACAAGAACAGCAACAACGGCGAGATCAATGGCATCAACAAGGTGGAGTCGGATCTCAGCAGCTATAAGGAGGCGTACAAGCAGCTGGATAACTTGGACTTCATGACCGCCTGCAAGATCCTCTTCACTGAACCTCCCAAGAAAAAGAAATTTGGGTATCATTTTCTATTCTCTATCTTTGTCTTACATCGCTGTTTGATCAGTTCTAATGGTCGAGTGGCTTTTGGTTCTTCAAGTTCTTTGGGGCATTTTATCGAGCACGTTGTGTTCATGTCTGTAGTATTTGATTGAATCAAGCGGGTTTCGTCGTATGCTAGTGTATATTTCAATGCTGTAGTGAAATTTTAATCTTCAATAGTAATGCATCATATTGTTTGTTTTCAAAGCTTAATTATATAAAAATTATATCAAATGACCTATCAGTATAAGATTCGTGTGATTTGTCCTTTTACGATTAAAAGTTTGTTCAAAATCCATGTATGTCTGCTGATTACTTAACACCTTTCTTTCACTCTCAGGATTGATTTCCATCTGGTTCAGCTCTTCTTTGTTTGCATGCCGTCTTTGGGTCGGTACCTTTAACTGTCTCTCTCTATTAATTCTATGTTCGGCTATAGAAATTTGTTGTATCTTAATTATTTTCCTAAATGCACTTATTTCCTGAAGCAGCTGTTTATCTGGTGGCCCAGTATGCTCGTTATGAAATGAGGAAGATGGAAGCGGTAACTAAATTTCAGGGCCTTATTTTAAAGTTTCCTAAATTGTTCTGTGTTTACTGCTTTATGTTTTCTCTAGTCATTATTTTCTGAAGACATTTGTGCTCCTTGATTTCATAATTTAACGTTTTCACATGATACTCTTTTCTTAGTTTGCTCTGTCTTCCATTTTCTGGTTTATTTTCCCTGTATTCTAAGATTATCATGTTTAGAGGACACATTTAGGTAACGATGACAAATATTTTTTATACGATAGTTTTCTCAATATGGTTCATCATTGCATTACCAAACTTAAAATTATTTGACATAAAACACTTATGTAGCGCTCTGCACAATATGTAGTTCACAGTTGTTAACTTGGTGCTCACACACACACACACACACACACACACACACGCACACATAAATATATATTTGTAGTTATGGATGCAAAACATTACATTGAGGATCATAATTATTGTTGTCGCTCTGCACAATATGTAGTTCACAGTTGTTAACTTGGTGCTCACACACACACACACACACACACACACAAATATATGTAGTTATTGATGCAAAGCATTACATTGAGGATCATAATACTCTTAAACTGAAATTATATGTAGTTATTGATATAATTGTGGAGACAAGGTATCTTCGTTATACCCTTCATGACTCGTTTAGGAATTACCATAGATTTTATCGCTAAATTACCATAAGTTCAGTTTAAGAGACTGTTTTAGGTACATTCTTCTGAAATTTGTTCCCAAAACTCATTTTCTAACTTCCCGCCGTAAAAGAAAAAGACTGTCTTTTTTTTTCCCCCCAGTTTTTTCTGAATTAAGAAAAAAAACTGTTGGATCTTTTTTATTATTTATATTTTATCTATATGAATGTGAAAATTTATATAAGTTTACACGAGTAGCATGGTAAAGTTCATATATAAATTGTAACTTACAAAAACAGTAAAGAAACACATGAAGTTAGAAAAAAATGGTTCTATTCTCTGTTTTATTTAACTGTTGAAAAGCTATCTTATCGAATAATTTCTCCTACTCAGAAAATTATTATTCATTTTTAAAGATAGATGATGGTTTTCAAACTATGGCTTCGAAACAATCCTTTAAGTTTTCATGATTAGTAATTCTTTAATTAGATATGAATGTAAGAGTTGAAATGACTGCATCATCATCCTGTCTCTTAAATCAAGATTAGTAGCCTATATTTTCATGTTTGGCATCATATACTTTATTTTAGAAGTTCAACCTTTTGAGACTCGGTGTTAGATTATGAATTATGATAACTAGTAGTTGTCTCAAAATTAAACTTGTGGTTTCGATACTGTTTGGTCAGTAATTGTAACAATTTCAATGGGATCAACATTTGACACACCTAGTGAATAAATTTGAGAATGTGGTAAGTTGGAAAGCCTTATTTGTTGCTTTATATTTTTGTCGATCTTATACACTTGTATCAGTTCATTGCGTATTGTTTTTAACTTCTATTGAAAATACTCGAAAGGTTATTAGACTAACCTTTAATAATCAAGTATCATCCTCTGGCTTCTAGATACTCTATCGTTTGCAGAATGGTCATGAGGAACCTCTTTCTGTATAAAATGGCAAGCAAAGAACTCTTTCTTTTGACAGAAAAAATATATATCATCTGTTGAGAAAGGATAGAGTTAAAGCATGTTCAATAATTAGAGAAGAAGGAAGAAGTTAGAAGATTAAATGAAATATTACTTGAAAATTTTGAACATTCGAACTTATAGATGTTAACCAACCTAGAAATAGGTCATATCATTTTTTTTTTTTTTGTTTTAAGTAGATATCAATGTAAGAGATGAAATGACTGCATCATCATTTTGTCTCCTAGATCAAGATGAGTAGTCTATATGTTCATGTTTGTCTACATAAACTTTAATTGAGGAGTTTAACCTTTTAAGATTCTGATAAATTATGACTTATGATAACTAGTAATTGTCCAAGAAATTAAAGTTACAGTGCCTAGTGGTTTCAAGGATGATTTGGGGTCAGAAAATGTAACAACCACATCTGTGAACAGCATTTGCTACACCTAGTAAATGAATGGGAGAATATGGAGGTTATCGTCCTGGCTTCTCGTTATGTAATCTATTGTTTGTAAAGTGGTCATGAGGAATCTGTTTCTGTATAAAACTGCAAGAAAATAACTGTATATATATATATATATCCATATACTTTTTTAAATATTTGGCAAAGAAAGATAACAATGTTATCCATGGGAATTTGGATACTTAAGTTTTCCGTTGGTTCTTTGAGTCGGTCCCTTAACAATGTTTTTCTGTGATTTTCAGTTTTTCAATGGTTTTCTTAACCAAAGTCACCATATCAGGACCTGGAGCTGAAAAAGAAGAAAGAAGAAGAGACAGCTAAACAAATAAAGTTACAAGAACGTGAAGAAATTCATGATAAGAACCAGGAGCTTCAAGAGGTAAAAACAAGACTTGATAAACTTGAGGAGACTATAAAAGAAATTGCTGTTGAATCCAGAAAACAATCAGGGAGTGGTATTGTCACAAAGAACTCTGAAAAGGCTCAAGGCGTTGATAAAACCAAACATGGGGCAAATATTGATCCTAGCAAGTCTATGGATGACCATCTTGGTGGACAAAAGATAGTACCGGCTCCAGTTTTGCCCAAAAGTCGTGCATCTACAACAGGAGAAGATAGTAAGCATCAAAACCAAGGTGGAGCATCTTCTCCAGATTCCAAGAGATGAGGAAGACGTCTCTTAATATTACTGCAATATCCTGCGCATGGTATACTTTTTGGTGAAGCTAGAGAAAAGAAGTGAACCATGTTGCCGAGAATCCAATGGTTCCAGGTTTTGTTTAATAACTATATTTCTTGATGCGGTGGGTTTGATCATCACCAATGTAAATGGTTAATAGGCAAAGGATTGATGCCCATTTTGTTACGAAAATTAATGACCTGATTAGCAATCAATTTCTGTTTGTGTCATGGAAATGTACTTAGATACAGAGAATTTTTACTCTCTTCCAGTTTTTCATGGTTGGATATATGAAAAAAAACTGTAAAAATATCTCGATTTATATCTACTGGTTGTTAAAAAATATGCAAATTCATTCAAAAGATACTAGTTTGAAGTAAATACGTTGTAGTGGTTTCATTTGAATAACTTCTTCCTTTTCCCCTTTTCCATCAGAAGTATACAGTAGGCGGTGGAATGGGATTGAACTAGTAGGCAGTGGAATGGGATTGAACTAGATGACAAGTCATTGTCATCAAGTGGGCAGCTTAGTGGTTGTCTTCCTGCTCATCATCATGCAGTATTGCAGACCCAAAGGTCAGAACAAATCTAACCCTACCTTGTCCCAGGTCTCCTTACTTCAGATGTAGCCTGAATTCAACTCTGTACAATAAATTGATGATATACAAACAATTTGTTGGACCAGACAAGTTGTTTATTTTTGGATTCGATCCTCTGACACATTAAAGCATTAACTTGATATTTTGAAGGTTGGATATTTAAGAAAGGATGCTTTATCCATGTTATATACCTCCTTTTTCATAAAGTAAAGTAGTCTAATTAAATGTATTGGAGGGGACCTTTAATGATGACTAGTTATCCTGAGAGAAAGACACTGATTGGTTTAAACTTCACCTGATGCTATGTGATCATAGCTCCACAATTTCTTGGTGCATTCTCTGGCTACTTTTGCTGTGTATCTGAAGAATTATTGTATGGTGTTTAGTCATGTTTCCTTCGAGCACCCTATCACTGTTTCAATTTGTTTCTCAGTAAATATTTAACATATTACTCGATTTGATGAAACTTGATTCATTACTCAACCTCTGATAAATTACTACTTGTGGCTTTAGTTGAGGTGCATAATCAAAGGCTATGATTCTTCAATGTTGCAGAATGGGCAGTCTAACCCAAATAATGGACATCCCAACTGATGAAGTAACAAAGCAACAGATGGCCAAAACCCAAAGTTTGCTCAGTCCTTTTCAGAAAGGTTGTGTGGTATGTATGATAAAGTAAGAGATTTTTTAGTCATAAAATTGTCTTAATAGCAGGATTTCTGTTACTTTTACATCTTGATACTAGAAGAAATTAGCTCCATTATTATGACTAATGATCATGAGTTAGATATATGATTAAGATGAACATGATTTGTATGGGATATGAACCCCACCGCTGGTTTGGCCTTATTAGGAGATCCTTTAGGTCGGAAATCAAGACAATGAAGATTTACCCACAATTTAATAATGTGGGAAAAATGATGATGTTGATGGAATAGCTGAGGGGGAGGATGGAGGAGGGAGGAGGGAGGAGGGAGGAGGAAAGGTCATTATGTACCTTCATTACTTTTTCACAAGGTTTTGTATATCTATATCTACCTCTGTATGGTGGTCTCATTGAATGAAAACTACAACCATCCAAATTTGTGCTCATTTCATGGACCACACCATCATACTCTTTAGTCTTTGAATTTAGGACCCTTTTATCCAACAACTTCATTTGGGGCCTTCCTGAATCTTCTCTCTCTCTTTCTCACACACACAATTTGATTGACAAGAAGCCTAAAATATAATGTTGGATCTTGAATTATGACATAGCTCCATGTTTGTCTGTGAAGTTTATTTATTTCTATCTTTTTTTATCATATATTTTTTAAGGTTCTTGTTCTTTTTACCATTTTCGGTAGTTGCTATACTATTTTTCGTGATTTATATGATGTCAAGGTGTGAGATCCTATATCGGTTGGAGAGGGGAATCAAACATTCCTTATAAGTGTGTGAAAACCTCTTTTTAGCAGACATGTTTAAAAACCTTGTGGGCAAGTTTAGAAGGGGGAGCCCAAAGAGACAATATTGGCTAGTGGTGGGCTTGCACTATAACAAAAGGTATTAGAGCTAGTCATCGAGCGGTGTGCCAGTGAGAACGCTGGCCCCCAAGAGGGGTGGATTGTGAGATCTCATATCAGTTGGAGGGGAGAACGAAACATTGCTTATAAGAGTATGAAAACTCTACCTAGCAAATGTGTTTAAAAATCTTGAAGAGAAGTCCAGAAAAGAAAGCCCAAAATCCCTTGCTTGAGGTACAACTTCAACTCCATATTTGTTTCTAGATTATTTTTTAATCTTTCGATTCTATGGACTCCAAGTTGGATTTCAAAATTGAAACTTTTGTCCAAATTAAATGGTTAATACTTTTATGCTTCCATAGAATTTGGAAATCAATAAATATTATAGGCACAGTATTGATTCGTCGCCCATATTTCCCATAGTGTATGCGTGTGGTATCAATCTTAATTATAAGGGTCATAAAAACATGAACAAGAAATCTTCCATACGCATACACTTGAAAGTTTAGCCACTTTTACTAGTGGAAACTTGCATCTCTATCTATCACTACTTTTTTGTTTTCTAGAGAGAGAATGAAAAAGATGGAGAGAGAAAGTGTATTACTTTCTCAAATTCCAATGTAATTTCAACAGATACATTGGTTTTTTTTTTTTTTTTCCTTCCATGTAATGAATGGGAATTTTCTTTTAAGGATTACCCTTTCGACAGGTTTACTTTTGTGTTCTTCTTCTGTTGCCAAAATGGATTATTTACAGAGACAATCTTCTCAAGTATTGGAAACAGGAAATGAAAAAAAAAAGAAAAAAACAAGAAGGATCTAAATCAATTCCCATCTTAGAACAAAGCATCAAATTTTAAAAAAATGGATAAAGAAGATGATGGAAAAAATTGAAGAAAGTTCCCTTTCTGATTAGAGCTTTAGGGACAAGTCAAGTTTCAACAGTTCATCTTGTTTAGGTTTCATCTTCAGATGACTAAAACCACCGCCCCCACCGCCACTGCCCCACCAGAACCCTCCGTGCGGCGGCGGGGCTTCTGTGACCGCCGCCGGAGACAATTTCCCCACACCCTCGAACCTTGCAGCTCCAGTGTCCGATGAAATGCCTCTGAAACTTCCGACATGGGAATTTCCTTGCATCAGCCGACCAATCGCCGGGTGTTGATCGAGCGGCTTCCTTGACCACTCACTATGACCATAAATTCCGGCTGAACCAATTGCCGAAACATGAAGAGAAGGCTTATGAACCATGGAATGAGCTTGAATTCCAAGCGACCTACTTAACGACCCATGAAGAGGAAGCGAAGCTAAACTCGAATACCGATGAGGTAGCCCGAAGTTAGAACCCGTCCCGATCCGTTGAGTCCTCTTTGCCAAAGTTCTCTCTCGCTTGTGGGCATTTTGGTGCCCTCCAAGAGCTTGAGAACTGTAAAATTTCCTCTGGCAATAGTTACAAGAGAAAACCCTCGGCTCTGTTTGGCCATCTGTGGGTTCTGTTGCCAAATTCGCATCGAAACTGTGGATTAGATTGAGTTCTGGGTTCGACCCATGATCGGATTCGTTGTTAGAAAGGGTGAGATCCAAACCCAGGTGGGAATTGAGGTTAATTTGATCAGTTGTTGGATCCCCCTTTGGACATGATGGAGAAGACTCTGAAGCAGAGATGATTGTTGAAGTTTCAGAAGGGGATGGCTCTGATATTGGAAGATTCATTGGAGGAGGAGGAAGAAGAAAAGGCACAGTAGAGAGAGAGAAAGGGAGGAGGGAGAGAGAGAGGGCTTATTGATATTGGTAATAAGTGCAATGGTTTATTGTCGTATGTATAGCAGAGAAATGACACTATTTTACAGTTAAAGGGTCTTAATATAGGAAGTCAAACGAATGAGAAGAAGAAGAGTCGTTCTGATGTGTTTTGTTTTGGCGTCTATGTGTGATCCAGTTTTCTCACATTTAGCTTCTCTGTCCCCATTTGCTCTTTTCACACAACTCCAAATGTATTTATTTAATCTATGAACTTTTAAATGGTTGAAAATATAAACGAATATCAAAAGTTTAAGAATCAAAGAATAATTTGATCGACGTTGGATCTCACAATTCACCTCTCTTCAAGGTCCAGCACTGTCCTTGTTTATATTCGTTCTCCTCACCAACCGATGTGAGATCTCACAATCCACACCCCCCTTTAGGATTTAGTATCCTTGCTGCTGGTACACCCTGTATCCACGTGGATCTTGCATAATAATTTTTAATTTATTTGAATCTTAATTTTGGTCGTTTAAATTTGATATAAAATCCTATTTTAGCCTTTAAAAGAAGTGTTATATAAATACATTTAACTAAAAAAGTATATATTTAACATAAACAAATACTTAAAACTATATAATTATTGTTTAAAGGTAAAACAAGAATTAAAACTTAATTTTCAGTTCCTTTTTGTTTTTCTATCAATCTTTTGGTGTCTCCTTAAAGTTATTAGTTTTAGAAAATTAACCAAAAAACATCATGAAATTTGAGGACCTTTTTGCAAAAATAAGAGATAAGAGAGAATATGCGGTGCCGCCCTTGTTTTTACTAAATATGACATAACTATCAATATCCTCCATCATCAATTTAATGCAAATGTTGTAAAATCCATATTTCTTTTTTGTTTGTAAATGTGAAATAAAAAAAAAAAAAAAGGAAATATGAAAATCTATTAAAGAATTTCATCCATGGGTCAATTAAAATTTGCTAAGGCGTTCATATAATTAAATTTACCGTAATTCAATACCTTAAATTTCTAAGTAAATTGGTGATCGGTAATTTTAGATGATGTGAATTTGAGTCAAGATAAAAAAAAATGTATATACAATGTAAAGACGACCCTAAGAGTTCAAGAAAGAATAACTATTTACTTTTATTTAAGTAGTTGCCAAAAATTTAATGCTTCACATTGATGGGTTAGTGTATTATCCATGACCAGAATTAAAAAAGAAAAAAAAAAAACATTATCTTCTGTGCTTTAATGACATGGTAACACCGTCAATACAGACTATCTAATTGAAACTATAAATGTTGAGTTAAGTTGAATGTTTTTTTTTTTTTTTTCTGTCTTCCGTTTAAGTTAGGTTAAATTTTTGAAAACTTGAAAATTTGAATCGGTTCCCGGATTGACATCTTTTCATTAGGCTAACTCAATTAAAAAAAAAAATTGAGATACAACCCAATTCTACTCTATCATATTTTTAATATTATTATGAAAATAAAAAATATTTAATGTTTGCCACTAATGTCATTGATGTGCTGTGACTTGTGAACGTTTAATATTTGAGAAGTTTGTCAAATTTTAGTTTTTAAGGGAGTATATACATTGTGAATAAATATGATTTTTTTTAAATAATTAAAAAAAGACGAACAACTCGAGGGTTGTGTTGGGTTGTGAACTCTATTCGAGTTGCTCGATTACCAACTTATCCAACTTGAAATTTCGAACTGGTTGAATAGATTTCTCAACTTAATCCATGTACATCCTCAAACTCTTTTGTGAAATTTTTAATCATATCTGAAATTTAAGAGACTAGACTATATTTAAAAGTGTTAAATATTGGAACGAAAAAAATTTAGGAAGATTAAAAATTAAAATTTTAAATTTAAAAAATAAGTACTCGATTAACTCAAATGGTTCAATATTTAATCATTTTACCATAAATTATATGTTCGAATTTTTACTCATAATTTATGATATAATATTAAGGAAAAAAATTAAAATTAAACGAAAAATTTAATGTTAATACAAATAATTAATTAAGTATTTTTTTTTTAAAAAAATAATAGTAAAAAGAAAAAAGAGACTAAATTATTCTTATACGACAAATTGATTGTAGCTTTTTTTTTTTTTTTTTTTTTTTTTTTTTTTTTTTTTTTGTTGTTGTTGTAAATAATTCATTAAAGTCTAACCTACCTCACCCCTAAGTTTTTAAAATATATATAAAAAAAAAATCAACATTTTTTTATTATCAATTATAATATATATGAAAAATGACGTGGCACCTACATAAATGAAAATAAAAAAAAATGATGTGCTCAAGTTACTTTTATTTAATTTTTTTTAAATTAATTATTTGAATCTTGATTTACCAACTATTTTATTCCTATGTTAGAGTTGTTGGCGATTCAAATTACTGTTTAAAAATTAAATTTGATACCGAATGATTTCGATATTCTCTTACATTCTATGCGATATGATCATGTAATTGTAACACTCCATACTCAAAATTCAAACTATGATTCGACACATGATGACCTCCAACGACATGGCCACTTTATTTACTCCTTTCTTCTAAGAGTGAATTCCATCCCACAGACCGACACAAGTTCTTCTAGCATAAATTTATCTTCACTTACATGCATCTCTGTAAAATTCCTAAGAGGTAAGTAAAGCACTTCGAATCATAAAGTTCTTAAGATTGAGCCACCGAAAATGAGGTACACATTTATGGTATAGGTAGTAACTTTCAATTCTTTCAAGTACTTCTCAACTATCCTATTGTCAGGATCCCTCTTATTCAGACATGGTCTCGGTTCATTTATATACAATTATTTTTACTCGGGTATCACAATAACCTACATGACTTGAACTACTGAATAATACCCGCACATCAACATGTCTGACAATAGGTATAAATATATATGCTTATCTATGTGTGTCCACTCAAACTACTAAGCATTTACATCCAATTTTTTAAAGGGTTAGGTAAGCCTCCACAACTTGAGTTCATCATCCAATCAATTTTATTTCAATCATAATTTTCATTCTTTTTATTATTATTATTATTATTATTATTTTAAAAATTAAAAGATTCAACTCAAAATGTTTTATTTATTTTTAAATTTCATTAATTTTTAGAAAACTTTTAAAATGGAATTTATTATGAGATTGGGTTCAAATTGTTTCTGCTAAAAATGAAAAGGGAAAATAATAATAATAATAATAATAAATTTTTTATTCAAAAATCTTAAAATTTTCTGTTTAAATTATAATATTGTTATTGATTTTTTACAAAATTTAAGGGATTTTAAAAATTAACAATAAATAAATAAATAAATAAATATATATATATATATATATATATATATATATATAGTCAATTTAAACATAAAATACTAATTGTTTAATTTCACTTCATTTATAATTTGAATAATTAATTTTTATGAAATAATTTATAAATTCATACGTGCACATATCATTTCAATATTTTTTAAAAAAATTTGAAAAATTATTAAAAACGAAATCAAATCCATCAAAACAGAAACTCATAAAAAAAAAAAAATAAAAAAAACTCAAAACCTCCAAATAAGCCCATAGTTGAGAAGCCAATGGGAGCTCCCCACGTGTGAATACCAACTCTTCTTTGTCTTTATGCGTTCTTCCCCATATGAGACAAATGGCCGACATTTCGATTCACCAATTGATATCACGTCCCCCTCATCGTGTCGCCATTCCTATTCGTGTTTCTGACATCTTTCTCGTTTCATTACTATTTCGTTTGTTTTGATTTTATTTTAACCGAACATCAACATCGATCATTGAATTTTTTTTATTCCAAAAATTGTAATAAAATATACATTATTACGTCGCTTTTCATAATTCTAGTGTATTGAATGGATAAACATCTCGCTTGTGTTTCCTCATAGTGTCATCTCTTTTGGTTTCTGTTTGGGTGCACGGACCTATTAATCAAAGTTTTTTTTTTAGCTCAATTTTCTATTTTTCTACAATAAAATAAAAAAGATTTTTTTAGAAATCCTAAGTCCGAGAGGAGAACGAATCATTTCTTATAATGGTATAAAAATCTCTCCCAAACACACACGTTTTAAATGTGTGTGACTATTGACATAATGAGCTAAAATAGACAATATCTGCTAGCAGTGGATTTCAAATGATATCATAGCCAGATATCAAGCACAACAGTATGCTAGCGAAAACGCTGGGTCTCTAAAGAGGTGGATGACGGAAAATCCCACATCGATCGATTGACAAGAAACAAGATGCTATTGGGTAAGTGTGCACTTAATAAAAGCCTTTTTTTCCCCTTAAATTTCATCCATTTCTTTTGGTTAATTATACCAAATGGATAGAAAGTCCAATGTTCATCATTTCTTTTTGTTTAGGTTTCTTCGATCTTCTTCCCAAAATCTTTTTCTAGATTTTCTTTACTCCGCTTTTTATCGTAAACTTGGTTCGATTCATTTAAATATTTGTTAAGATTCCGTTGAATTTGGACAAATTCAACCTAATAGAACGAACAAATCTTCTGAACCAATGAAATAATGTCATGTTTCTAGTAAATTAATCAAACTTCTAATTTAATCGAGCTTGAACAGTTCGATGTTATATTTGATACGATGCTCGTTTTTTAAGATTTGATTTTCGTATCGACCCACTTGAAAAATATTTGTTACTATTCAAATTTGGGAACCATCTTTTCCAAATAATGCTTGCAAGGAAAAGGAATAGGAAAGCTTGGTTTTGTTGACTTGCATGTAGAATAAGTATCGCTTTGTAAAGTTTAATTTGAGGAAGCAAGCAAAGCATAAAGGCCAAATTACAACCAAACTAAAAGTGATATTTGAGAATAATGTGGGTTCGAGATATCGACCCTTAGTATATCTTTACAATTATATGACATTATTTACTTTTGGCATAAATCTGTCATGGATTTATTTTTGGGTTGGTCGGGTTGGTTACCTGAACAATTTGAATAAAATTTACAACCGAATCTTTTATACTCGATTGGATTGAGTCGGGTTGTCGGGTTGTTTTCTGAATTATTTTTAAAAATTCTACTTATCTATAATAATTATTACATTAATAACTGAAGTCTCGTAAAACTCAAATATTCTTAATTTTCATAATAATC